AACTGAGAAGGCTCGTTAACTTCATTGCTAGTGGTTTATACAATATGAATAAGAATTTCTACATAAAGTACAATACATGTATCCATTACACTCACACAGGCCTTGTGCTCATTTTACAGAAAACAAAAGTAAAAAGTAGTGGTGCTATAATTCACAGAAAATTATCAGATTCATTCTGTTACTTCAATCTTCATAGGACATACTTCCTTTCTACAATAAATCATAGGGGGTGGCAACTCAAATAGCACTTGCTTGTTGGGTAGTCGTAATTATTACAGTGCACTCCCATTTTGGGGTCTGAATGTGAGAAACTGCTAGATGTGCATTATTCTAGATTTATCTCTAGGATAGTCCCTTCAATCCCTCTTGAATCTGAGTCCTTCCAACATTCAATTCCCTTCTAGAATTCAGGTACTAATGAAGTAAATAAAATAGTCTTGCATCACTCAGAACAATTAAGTGTGTGCAAGTATGAAAGTTGTATTCTGAGACAACATTTCTGGATTCTGATACCTTTACAGTGTATTTTGGGAGCAGAAAATAAGTGATGCTTCTTTTGCACTTCACAAGAAGTTCTGTTTGTGTTGTATCTTTTCTGTAGTTTGTAGAAAAGGTTGGTCTTTGAGATGACATCCTTTTAGGAAATATTTTCTGCTTAGGATATCAGACCTCTTCTTTGGATATCTCTGTACATTGCTTTTGCTATTATGTATTTTCTAATCTTGCACCTTTTTTTTTTTGCTCAACAGTTGTCTACTTATTGCTAATTCCCGTCTGAGCACCCCTACATTGTATAGTGACATCTTAGGCCTTATTAGCAAGACACTGGATACTTCTTCAGAATAATTCATTGCATTTTTATTGTGATGACTAGAGGATAAAACAGTTCCTATGCCACAATAATTTAGTTCATTCTAATACTCTCTTCATACCAATTCTGATTTCCCATTTCTTCTCTTTGAGCAATCTGCACCAATTTAATTTTTATATGACAAAGCACTACACACATCTATGCAGGTCCATAAATAAAAAGCAATAAGCTGACATCTTTCACCTGTATCAAATGTATTTCACACCTTTTTTTTTTTCTGGTATACTTGCTATTAAACTTCTGTTCTCTATATCCATTACCCGTCTGTATTTCCCACGTACCTCTTCCCCTTTTCTGTCAATTGACAGAATTTTCAGCTGCAGATGAAGTGTTATACCTCTTCTGCCTCTGTGCTGATGGGTTCACACAGACATTGCAGACAATTTTTCTGCTATGGCATATAAAAAAAACCTGTCTACAACCACGTACATTTGCTTTCACACATATAAAGTACTTCTTTCAAGCAATATGTCTACATCTGGGAGAAAGTTGTGGATCTCCCTAAAATCTGTCTCTAAAATGAAGATGAGGCTTAAAAACCAGAAAACAACAATGGGTTGAGATCACTGTCAACTCAAAGCTCTCAATGATCTTCTCAAGCCACTTACTACGTAGCAGTATCTCATATATTTTAAGTGTCCATGTTATATTTGTGCGTTGAGATTGTCCTATATTTCTCAGATTCAGATGGACATTCATGCAGTCTTTTTTCAGTATTTGACTACAGCCGGTCACCTGGATGTAACGGGTCTAACAGGGTTGAAGACTCGTGTCTTAACCTGACTGACAGCTGCCTACCCATCAGCTGTGGGAGCAAATTGCACTAATTGCTCTAGGAAACTCAGCGGATTGCTTTTGATTTTACTCCTACTGCATATTACTGTACCTTGTCCTTGTGGCTTGCTTATTACCCCTGCTGTTTAGCCCCTGATTCCTGCTCTTACTCCTAGAGCTCCCACTTGCAGTGCAATCCCTCTCTGGGTTTTGCTCACTTATCTTCTTTGCAGGCAGTACTCATATTTCTCAAGCCCTAGCATTCTATGATTTGTCCAGTTCTTGACTTAGAATCATCTTAAGTAGACCTCTCATCTACTGAACAAAACAGGAAGTTGAGCAGAGACTTGGATGACAATTTCTGTATGAGCCTGGACTCAACACTTATTTCAGGTTATTGTTGTAAAGTGGTCTGTCAATCCCTGTTAATGCTGTTTATTCATGCAGGTTTTTTAAAACTTCAGATATTTCGGCCTTAAAAAATAACCTTTAAACCCTGTAACACCTAAAAGTGAAGTTCTAATTTGCAATCAAAAGAGATTAAGACTTCCTTGTAAACACTTTTGATTGAAGGATCTGAAAACCTAATAAAAATACCTTGTAAAATGTTGTGAGATTTTTAACAGAATCACAAATTATGGTGACAATGCAGTCTGTTACACTAAAGAAGTGACAGGATTTCTTAATCCAAGTAAAGAGTTATGGAGAAATAAAGGAAAGGAGTAGATACCTTGGGTGTCAGCAGAAATAGATGAGGTATTTCAGTTTGAATTTTATTCTTGTTTAGCAAGATATATAACTGAAGCTGAGTCTCTGGGTTTTTTTAAAATGTAAACATCAAGATTAAAAATATATGATGTCATATATGAGAGGATGGAGAAAAAGACAACAAACAAATTCTCAACAGTGAGGTAAATCAACATGCCCTCAAGTGGTAACAATCAGATCTTTAGGGGTACTTCTGTTATATAAGCCTGCTATTTGTATATTTGTCCTTTTTTATTTCCTTTTCCAGATGTTAGGCAAAATCCTATGGAATTTTATCTTACAGCAATATCACTGATGGATGCTGTAGCTGTGATCTGTTCAAAGAACCAGTGAAATAGCACCGGGCTTTTAACTGAACTGCACTGCTCACAGCTTTTCTGATAGTAAAATAACCAAATAATCAATGGATAATTAAAAAAATTCTGGAAGAAGCCCTAAACAGAGAAATGTCCTAAGTAAAAAAGCAGCTCAGTCTAATCTTGTGTTCACTTCTAATGCACAGGAGTATAATCCTGTCAACAAAGGGAAGCATTTAGATAGATGAAAATAAAAGGTCTTTGTGTGCATAGGCTAAGTCAGGATTTTCATATTATCGAGCTTTGCTGTGATTTCAGCATTTAGTGTTGTAGGTGAAGAGGGGAGCTTTTGGCTGTGAACTGAACTAATTGTCCACCTTTGGTCTTCCCACCTTCTGACCCTTTAAATGCTTTTTCACATTACTCCATATGTGCAACAGTAATCTTAGTCCTGTTAAAAAGCTGAAATCTGTCTGAAACATACAATTTTGGTATTTGGCTTTCATAGTCACATACATTTGTCACCTTTATACACTTGATTTTGAAACTGCAGATATAGCAGCTGGTGGTTTTAAAACTAGGAAGTGCCAGTCAGCAGAAGGACCCTTGCCAATGTGTTTATTTCTGTACATTAGGATTGTTTATAATTCATTTTAATAAGTTTGAAAACACAAAATTCTTCCCTAGCAAACTCCTCCTTTCTATTGAAAACCTGTATCTCTGTCTTACTCCACTACAATTGCTTTTGTTGCTTACTGAACTGATTCCATAGTTTTTCCTCAAATTGCTTCCCAACGATTATGAACAACAGCAGAATTCAGCCTTTAATTTATATCTACCCTTGAAATAAATGAGTCTTATGCAATGACATTATCTGTCTCTTTTTAACTCTTAATTGCATGCTTAAAAATATATAACCATTTTTTTTCCTACTAAATTCAGACAAATTTGAAAGAATCATAGATTTCCTAAGGATCCCACAGACACTTTGTGAAAACCATCAGCAGAAGTAGAGGAGAGACCAAAATTACTTTCCTCTCTAAGGGAATGAAAAGAACAACTCAGTATTTATAGATTCTGTTAGACAGCAGCTGCTGGTCAGTTTTAATGCACATACTGAGCACTGCAGTGGCACAAATGGAGAGAGCAGGGGCAGTGGGACAGATAAGGATGCTGCTTTTGAAGATATTTCTGTGATATTCCTATGAGGCATGGGAGCATGACCCATTATATCACGTATCTCTGTGAATATTGGCCTTTCTTTTTAGTGGTTCAGTTATTATTTTACTTAACAATCTTAACTATCTTGAAGGTATTCGGAAACTTATCTTAAAGCACAATTTTAAATGCAAATAAATTTAGCAGGCTCTACTATGCATTATTCATACTTTCCCCCTGATCCCGGTCCCTGTGTGGACAAAATGAACTGCAGGAACTGGGAAGATAGTTCTTTAAAATATGCAAAAATGTATGTATGTTAATTAGAGGCAAGAATAACTCCATTGCAATACCACTTTTTAATTGCAAACATTACTGTCCCTGTCTTTGATATCAGTTGAATTAATGGCTTTCTTCAGTTTTACCGATGCAGGCAATAACACACAGTACTGCAAAGCCTGACAGCGTACAGTATATTGTATAGTATCAGTATGGGTGCAGTGCTCAGGTTTGTCCTTAGAAATTTATATCTGAAGGTTCTGATTTCACCTTTATCTGTGATATTAAGCTCTCATGGGCACTACCACACAAGCTTGTAATGTGTAGAACTGAAACGTGAGATAATAATCTAAACGAAGAGAAAATAAAAAAACACCAATCAAGAAAGAAGATAAAACCTTAGATTAAGGCTTTAACACTTCAGTACTTTGGTGAATAAGGTTTTCGTGTGTGTGAGATCTAGCATTTATTGTAGGCTTGTTATGTGTAACAGCATGTTGGAGCACTAATTGTTATTCATGTTAGGTTTTTCACTTCCTATTTTTCAGAAGCTGTTTCAATGCCAAATAGTAGGAATCATCTGTCAGATAATAGATAAAAATCTGGTATTGTAATTAAATGTAGCTATAGTACATGCACTTAAATACTAATTAAATGACACCAACTCTGAGATCATAATCTGAGTGGTAATAACTAGACTCAATTCATGAACTGATTTTATCCATATAAGAGTTTTTTCATTCCTAATTCTTGTCTTGTATAAAAATAACAAAGAAGCTCTCATTCAATGAGAATTTCTGTCTTAAAGTTCTTAAAACTTAAAAGAAAGCCTTTTGACAGATTTGATCTTCCACCGTCGGAATGCTGTTCCAAACTGTTCTTGTGTTAGTTTGCAAAAGTGTTTCATTAGTTTTATGAGAATTTTTGTAATAAGTGTATGTTAGATGTGAGACAGGAAACAAGGCTATATTTACACTTCCCAGAACTCCTCATTATCATTGTAAGAGTTTTCATTCAGTTGCTAGGAGCTCAGCCAAACTTTTAAAATATTTGGGCTAAAATGTGGGTTTGTATTATGATGCCGACTTCAATTATGTGAGAGCGCACTATTCTTCTCCAACTCTTTCCCTGCCTGCCTCATTCAGGCCACAAGATGGATAGTACTCATTTAACAGGCAGTTTGCAAACGTCATTTATAAATGCACTTCATTCAGTTTGCAGCCCCCTGGCCCAGTGCAGCATTCAAATATTTCTCTGAATATGGCACGATTGATTTCCTCAAAAGAGTGATTGGCTCCACTGAAACTACAAACGTTACTGTCTCCATTTTATAATACTCTTGTGAAATGAGTGTTCGTTATTATTTCTGTTTTACAATGTGGTACTACGGCACAGTAATATATCCTCAAAAGCAGTTTGGATGACTAATGCGAAATAATTGTTACCTTATTTCTCAAAGAAAACAATTTTTAATATTTGTCTAAAGCTGTAGTTTTTAAAACTGGCAAGTCAATTCACTTCGCTCGTACCTATGAATTTTTAAAACTTCTGCAAACTGAAGCCTTTGTGTGTCACATTGAGTGCTCAGAACGCACAGCACTTTTGACTGAAGCAATATGCCTCAGTTCATGCAGGAATCAGTGGCAGAACTAAGAAGGAAATTCAGTTCTCTATTTTCTTTAGCACAAGAACTAGGCCTCCTTTCATTTCTGTAGCAAAGGAAAGTGGGATTACAAACATCAAGGCCATTCTCTACGCAGCTGGTTTTCATCCTCCAAACCTCATCTTTTCTGTGCACTGCAGTGACAAGATTTTTCTTTTTAAATTAAAAAATGCTGATGCTTGATATTTCACAGATAAGTAGGAGTTAGCAAGACATATGTTTTATCTTCCCTCTTATGCCCATAGAAGAAATCATCTAATTTAAGTAATATGGAAATATTTCAAGAACATTCTTTGCTCTTCTTGAACCCCCCATTGCCATTTTAACCCCAGTCACTTGCAAAATGCACATGCTTAGGATCTACATGATGCAGCCCATGCCATTGTTTGTTTTAAACCTATATCAGTATTTCAGGTCCACATTGAGATACACTGGAATGACATATTCCAGAATATCTTCTCTGGTGATACCTTCAACACTTTACTAAAAATATTATTTGATTATAGAAGCTGGAAGTTGACCTTCCCCCCTGCCCCCCTCATTCTTATGTGAGAAGCCTACTTTTGAAAATATGGAGCCGAAAGCATCTCTCACAAGGTGGTAAGGTGGACAAGCCTCTGCTCTGTCAGGACATAGGGCCTCTGGTGCTGAGGCTGGTTTAATCACCCATAACTACATGGTCCTGCCTTAATGTACTAAAAGACTCCCATCTGTATTGGTTGAAATATATACTATACTAAGCTGGCATAGGTATACTAATTTGGGAAAACAGTATTTCTGGAGGGTTATTTTTAACCTGGATCAGTTCATAACATGGTTTATAGCAGAATTTCACAAGCAGTTAGAGTGCTTCAAAGGAAAGTGGGAACCTCTTAAGCCAGCTTTTCACCGAACTCCATTGATTGTGGAATTAGGAGTTAAGCATTGCAGTGTGACACCTAATTAACATCCTAAATCCTGTCTATTTGTGCAGTTTGTTACAAAGACTGTCAGTTCAGGTCAGGATTAACATTTTGCCTTATCCAAACCCACTTAGATGGAATCTGTGTTTATGGCAGCAAAACTGAGTTATCTTGCTCACCTTTTATATATAGAACCAAAAAGGATGGAGATCAGCCATTGAATAAATTCCCAGGCAGAATCCTGCTGCTGTCAGGATTTTTTTCCCAACTGAACAGTGTAGGGCATGTACATTAAGGAACATGAAACCAGATACACAAGATATGATATTAACCTAAATGAAGCTTCAGGAAAATGAGCATCAGGAACAGAATGGAGAATCCCCACTGCCACTGGGATGGTATGGATATGTGGTCAGTTGTGATCCAACTGAAAAGAAATCTGATCCATGAGATGAAAGTGAGAAAACCAGTTTTGTGTGTGTTTTTGATAATGTACCTCTAATTCATCTTTGAAGGTGTCCCACAAGATTCAGGAATAAGGCTGCACCCTACACTTCATTATGAACCTCAATACAACAGGGAGGCATGACCATGGTCATGAACACAACATTCAATAGTCTGCGAGTAAACTGAGCACTATCTCCTTAGAACGTGGCATTTTCATGTTAATAGGTGGGCACAGTGGAAATACTTCAAAGTTATCTTTTTTTTTAGAAAATAAATAATTCTTTGGGAAAGCTGAGTGGCTTGCTAGTTTTGTTAATTTGTATCTTATATGGCCTTTGCAATCTTCTAGGCCTGATTCATGCATCTCTAGGGCACCAGAAAAAAGGAATATATTAAACAAGTACAAAGGTTGTTCTACAAATTAAATTTCTGTAGGAAACAGACACTGGAGAAACCGCATGTGTTAGGCAGAACAAACAGTTTTCCTTTATTTTTTAAATGGCAGAGTTAGAATCTGTAGTTTATTAAAGCTAAATGAAAAAAAAAAATCAGCAAATCAAACTGCACTCTGAAGCAACTATTTTACTAACACTGTCTTTCAGCCTATCATTTAAAATTTCTACTTTTTGTTTTGTATTTATCATTAGACAGTTTTTATATGAATATAACCATATCCTTCCTAAATCATAGAATGGTTTGGGTTGAAAGGGACCTCAAAGTTCCTCTGGTTTCAAGACCCTCTCTATATATGTACCCTAAAAAAATCAAAAGTAAGCCTTCTTGCACATTTAGATATACTCAAACTTGAAGGTGAAAAAGAGGGAGAACTGTAATTACTCTTTCTCAGTAACAACTTCCATGAAACTGCCTCAAGACTCTAATGAAATGATTTTGTTCTGCTGTGCAGCTGTCAGTAAGAATGTTCTAAATTAATATTAAATATCTTTTAGTAAATGTTTTCTACACCTGAATAAGAATTTTTATTTTCTGTACAATCTTTTAATAAGAAATATTTGTCGAGAAGTAATCCTTCATTATTATGTTTGGAATTATTCAGTAGATTGCTAAAAGGAAAAAGAAATCATTTAGACAAAGTAGTGTTGCAAGGTGACACACAATCATAGACCTGGAGCAGTGTCAGCCAGGTAGATATTATTAATTTTTGTTAACTTCGTGGAAGCTTACTTTAATGTTCAGGAAAGAAGACTGCAAAATTGAAAACATATAACTGGTTGCAAAATTATTCTGTATTTTGATAACCCAAGGAAAAGAAACTCTGTCTTGTAAGATTAAAGTCCCAAATTGTCTGAAATTCATAATAAAATATAATTCTCCTGTCTTCCAGTGAAGCATGCATATGAATTCTGTGTGTATTCTTTGCCAGTAATTAGAAGTCAGCTTGGTAGAATTTTCTTTCTATAAGCAGTGTCACTTATCTACATCTCTGTGGCAGTGCTACTGCAGGCTTACTAAAAGGTTTTTGAAGAACTGCTGACAGATTTAGATTGTCCTGCTGAACCTACTCTGGCAACATAGAGAAAAACACACCTCAAGGAGGTTCAATTCACTGGACTACTAGAATTTATTTTAAAAAGAGCAGTTTTCACAGCTAACTCCTAAAGTTTTTAGTACTTTATCTCCACTGCCTGATGACAGGCAGTGGCCAGCAAATGCACCTGAAGAAGGCTAAGCTAGCAGGCTGTCAGGTACCCATAGTGTATAATGTATTTGGAAAGGAGATGCAGATTCTGACATCCTGTGACCAAACAGCTATATTTGCACTAGAAGTCCATTATGGTTATTTTTCTTTTAGTTTAAAGGGTAAGTATATTAAGTACTTTAATTTTTTTCTGTGGAATTCTAGCTGTGGCACCATGTCTTGGGAGCTAACACCAAAGTTCAGTTAAAAAAATCCATGTTAAACAAGACGCTTCCTTGCTGAAGCTGTAAAACTTTTGAGTTTTCAGGAAATGCAGCAAAGTGCTTGGAATTGTTTATAATATAGCTGGCAGCATGTAGTTTCTTAACTGGGGCTGGCCCAGTGACATGAAATGTATTACACTTCCATGTGGGAGTGTTATGTGTGATATTGTCTGTGGATTCATCCACACTAAGACAATGCAGAAAAAAGGGAAAATCTCATCTCCTCACAAGGAAGGAAAAAGACCCTCAATTGTATACATGCAATATACCTCTGAAGAGATAATAAATGTAACCAGTGCATAGATTTCCAGCTGGAAAAAAGCATTAACCTTTCTGAGACTCGTGAGGAGTGATGGTCCTAGAATAATTATCCATATTATCAGGGGAGAGATAATGGCTAGCAAATATGTAAAATGTGTAAAATTAATACAAAAAAATCTCTCAAAAGTTTTTGACAAGAGAAAAATAATCCAACCTCTCCTTCCTTTTTTTCTGATTAAAATACATCCCAATTACTGTATTTTTCTATTATTCTGAACCAGTCTTATGCTTAAAATGCTTTTTTGTTCTGAACCACTCTTGCCATTGCATCATACCTATTTTGTAAATGAGCATCACTAGCACAAAGATCAAAGCACACTGGTAAGAGAATGTAAGCAGCAATTCTATACGAAAATGTGACATCTTTCTTGGAAAGGAAGATATGGCTAAGCTGTCTTAGTATCCACAAGTGGAAATTGACCAAAATTTTTAAAATTTATTTTACAGTTGTACTGTTTTCTAGAGTTGTTTCCCAAAGAGTCAAATTCTGAAGGATTTCTTCAGGATCCAGTGGAACTATTAATTGTAGTATTCATGGAATTTTGAATTAGATCACTGCTACTATTAATAGTATTACTGCCACTGAGTTCAGATGAGATTAACCATGG